AGAGCAAGCTGGCTGGAATACCGAGAGACTGGAGTGACTTCGACTGGGAGGCGATCTTGAAGACGATCGGCGGCGGTGTTGGTCACGGGAGCAGGTCTCCGTATTACCGGAACAGGGGGTAAATTACCGCCGGGCCAAAGAATGAAGTTGGACCCTAAGATAATATAATATCACGAAAGAAAAAGCGAGTGGATGTCTTGCAGGATGAGAAAGGGAATAGAAAAATCTCAAACGAAAGGCAATGGAAGAGAAGAAAGAAAAATTAGCCCCCCCCAAAAAAAACAAAATAAATAAAAGAAGCCAGCAGTCCGACATCCCGAGGGGCAGCCGAGCAGATCCTCAACTTCAAACTAATTGTCGGCGTGGCTAAGAATAGCCGGGACGCTTGCTGCATCCCATCGTTCTAGATAGAGTCTAGACCACACCATCGCTGCACCAACCAAATGCCATTCCTGTCTGGGTTGATTCGAGACCTTAATGAATATATTGCTATCTATGCTATCTATGAAGGGTTTTCTCCTATTCCATATTCCCTTTATTGTTTATCACGAACATATGAAATCTTACTGGGAGTGTCTGACTCAGGATGAGACTGAAGTAGATAAATGCAATCTACGATCCTCTCGTTGTTAGCATCTACTAAGAAAATACTGCGGTAAGTAGGTACTGGCTAAGAGCTTTTACTTAGGTTCGTCTAGTGTCCACACAAATTAGCTGCAGTGCCCATATAGTCTATCTACTGCTGAACAGCTTCGGAAGCGTGTAGTAACCATCTTAGTCTCAATGGCTGCATATTCCGTTCTGCTATCCTCCAGTAAGATGATAAACCTTCTCATTGCATTGTCCACGCCCTGACAATCACTCATAAAATATTCCGACTCCGTTAATCCCGGAGCAAAAAAGCAAATGGATCTCTTGGAAACTGAGAAGGTCGCGAACATCGGATCGTTTTGCACTAATCACATGGCATTTGTCGCTTTAATCCAGGGTTTCCCTTAAATTATGCAATAGCTGATCCCCTAAGATCCTCTCGGTGATCATATCTGAGTTACCAACGCATCTCTAGGATTTCTGATAGGCCATCTCTCGTTGAGAGGACCCATATGAATTGGATATATCCAGCACAGCCATCCTTTACTCGCGTCATGACGAAGATCAACAACAATCAGCAATTCGTAGGATTCCTAGGAATAGGCCGGCCCGTCTCCAAGATCGAAATATCTCAAAAAAATGCCACAATATGTGCCAATTCCAGAAACTGCAGCTCATTACGTAGTTTGCCTCTCACTCCTCCCCACCATCAACTTGTACCAGATAGCCATCGGTCTAAAACAATGAACGTCAGAAGCAATAACCATGATGTTGTGATGCTAATACTTCGTTCGTGACGATACAATACCTCCACATGGCACAAGTGGCTCCTACCACCCGCCGTAAAATTCTCTCCGCGAAATCTGAAGGTAAATCCGAAACGAATCTTGCAGCAGCAAGCAAACGCCTCAACTTCCTGCTCCTTCCCCTTCCATTCCCGTCTTCTTCCCAGGATGCCCGATTCTCCATCCGACGACAACGATTCCAGAACCGCCGCCGTCGGCCCCCGCGCTCAGACAACCGGCTCCCGCCACTCCTCGCGTCAGAGCTCCCACGATCCCAACCCGAACCCGCGGAAAAGGCGTCGCCGCAGTCGCTCCGCCGACGTTCGCAATGTTCGCGACTTTGTCCCCCAAGGCGCTACTTTTAGTGCAGCGGGACTTGGTGTCGATGTAGACGCTACCTCGTCTTCCGGTTCCGACAGTGACGACGGGTCGTCCGACGGTAGTGATGATGATGATGATGATGATGATGCGCAGACCGAGTCCGCGCCCGCGCCGCCGGCGAGCTGGAATAAAGGCAGCAAGAGTGCGATTCGGACATCGCTTCGCAGTCGCGCGAAGCCAGAGGAGAGCAAACCTACGTCACAGTTCGACTCTGTCAATGACAAATTCTGGCGCAGTCGCAGTGAATCCGTCTCGTCCCAAGGCGAGAACGAACCGGAAGCATCAAAGCCCGCCCAAGTCGATGGTATTGAAGAGGGTGAAGTGAATGAGGAGGAAGCTTCAGACGAGTCCAGTCAGATGCAGCTCTCCGGCGACTCAGATGATTCAGAGTCTTTGGGATCGGAAGCAGACGATTCCATCCTACTCAATATCGGGTCGCGGAACGGCCAAAGTCTCGGTCAGGACCAGGATGGCTTAATCACCCCAGACGGCGACGACGACTACGACCCCGAGGCATTACCAGTATCCAACGGAAAATCTACCAACGGACAGACCTCCACAAACCAATCCAAGGAGGACGCGCTCCTCCGCTTCTCGAAAAAGTACCCAACAGCCCCCTCTACCCTCGCCGACCTCGATCGCGAAGACATGGACATTCAAGCGAAATACCGCTTCTACGACCGCGACGTCAACGCCATCGACCTCCAACTCCCCATCGCCTGCACAGAGTGTCTACTCGAGGGCCACCTCGCAGAAGTCTGCCCGTCCCGAGAGGTAACGCTCACCCCTCCCCCCATCATTCCCACCACCAACTAACCAACCAACCATATAGTGCATACACTGCGGCGCCTGGAACCAGCACCAAAGCAGCTTCTGCCCGACCTGGCGCCGATGCCAAAGGTGTCGCGCGCGCGGCCACGACGAAGACAACTGCCCATCGGCCCTGAAAGGCTCCTCCAGCGAATTCCCCTGCGAACTATGCGGCTCGACCACACACATCGAAGAAGACTGTGACTTGATGTGGAAGCTTACTACTACCCGCCCGGACTCCGAACCCGTCCTCGTCTCCCTCTCCTGCGCCCACTGCACCAGCAACCGCCACCTCATCGGCGACTGTCCCTCCCTCCCATCCACCCGAACCCTGCTCTCCTCCTCCTGGACCGTCCGCGGCATCGACCCTAACATGATCACCAACATCAACTCCGTCGTCAACCACCGGCGAAACAACAACAACAATAACAGCAGTAATAATGGTAATAACCGAGGAGGTCTCAAGATCCGCGGCCGCGCCGACCACCGCCCGCCTTCCTCCGACAGCGACGACATGATGGCTCATCGACGTGCGCCTGTCCATCGCGGTGGCCGCGGCAATATCCGCATTGGAAGCGGAATCGGTAGAGGGAATAAGAACATTTCGGGTGGTAATGGGTATCGCGATAGATCTGATTTCGGCCCGTCGAGACAGCGCTCGATGTCGCCGAATCCTCGTTCTATGCGCGGGAGAGGTGGGAAGGATAGTTGGCAGGGCGGTGGTGGACGGGGGAAGTCGTCCGGTGGCGGTGGTGGTAGTCGGCCGCCGTCGAGAGGTGGGAATCCCAGTCGTGGAGGAGGTCGTGGTGGGAAGAGAGGCGGTGGTGGTGGGGATGCGTATCGACCGTTACCGAGTGCGGCGAAGAAAGCGTGGGATAAGTATCGGTTGTGATGGAGTGGGTTTTTATCGTTATGAACAGGTTCGTTGACGCTGGCGTTTCCTGTGTGTGTATATATACCCCGAGGGTGGAACGATTGATGTTGCATGTTTCAAAAGTTGTGTGTGTGTGTGTGTGTGTGTGTGTGTGTGTGTGTGTTAGATCATAGCCCATAGCTTAGTGCTCATTATATGTACAGATGAGATGATACTGTAGATATCCAACGAGATGTGTACAGGATGACAGGACAGTAATAGTCTATACGCCATTCTCCACGGCATTATCCGTAGACGTAGGGGTCTTCTCACCCCCGCGATTTCCCACGAACCCTTCATCTAGAATGCGAATCAACTCATCTAGTCTCTCGATACAGAGATCTGTATGCGCATGGTCCTTCAAATGTCCGTTATGGTCGTTGAGCAGGAGCACGGTCGCTGCGCCGGCGGTATGTCCGGCTGTCATGTCGTCGAGAGAATCTCCGACCTACACCGACCACATTCAAACACACAAATCAGAAATGAAACAGAGTAATAATAAGAAAAGAAAGAAATCATACCATGATCAACCCCCCCGCCATCCCCCCCTCATCCTGCACTCCCCACTCCCTGGCAATATGCAATATCCCTGCTGGATCCGGCTTGGGCAACAACCCCGGTGTTTCCCGTGTCACAATGGGGAGGAAGACGTGTGCGGGGAGATGGTTGTTGAGGAGGTTGAGGACGGGTGCTCTACACCACATCCTTATTAGTATCATATGGTCCTTTTATTGCATATCACAAACAATCTCTAGGGAGGGAGGTATACTCAAAATTCCTCGTACACAAAGCCCTCTTCACCCCCCTCTCTTCTAAGAAATCCATCAATTCGACCAAGCCCGGTTGAGGCTGCTGGGATTCCATGGCGGTGCGCTCAATGGCTTTGATTTTGTTTGTGGCTTCGAGACGCGATTCGGGGGTTGGGAGCCGGCTGATGTGGTGTAGGATGTCGACTTTGGGGGCGATGTTGAGGGCTTGTCTAGATTATTTGTTTGTTAGGATGGATTGTAGTGTAGGGTGGGGGTGGAGGTGGGGGAAGTACCGCATTTCAGAGAACATGTGATTTTGGGGGAGGCTATATATTTATATTATATTTGGTTAGCGGTGGAATTGGTAGCTAAGAGGGTTATAGGTATAGGTATACCATAATGTGCCATCGACGTCAAAGACGATTCCGCGGAGTGGGGGTGCGGAGGAGGAAGAAGAAGCAGAAGAGGGGAGGAGAGGGGCGAATCGCCGTTGACGGAGAGTATAATTGTTTAGGGATGCCATGAGGGAGCGGGAGATGCGTAGGGCTGGATTAGAGATGGACATTGACAGGATATCAAGGCAAGGAGGGAGGAAGAAAAGAAGCAGAGGAATGTAGAGTGGAGAAGTGACGTTGAAGAAGGAAGTGGTTTGATGGGCTGATAAGAAGGAGTGGAGACTGGCATGCGGAGTTACTTAAGTTGGGTTTCCTTTAATTATTAGTTTCGGTTCTATACTTCATGCTACTATAGACTCCATTCCATACTGCAATACTTACCTGTATCAAAGTATATCTGCACCTCCACATCAAAATACTAATCTCCACAAGGAAAGTCCAAGGTTTAACTGTTGCACCTTCCTCTGCTCCGTCTATTATCAACTTCCACACTCATATCTCCGAGTCTGACACCTCACAATGATCTATCTCTGCTTCTCCCCTGCAGTCCTCATCCTTTTTTTCACCCTGCATCCAGTATAAATCTTCCTGCCGACCACCATGTCAGCCAAGAAACACCATCCAGCTTTTCGCGATCCTATCCTCAATGCCATCAATATCCGCACCGTGCTCGCCCTCCTCGGCACTCTCCTCACCATCAAGCTCCTGAACCTGCTGGCACGCCTCACGGGGGTACGACGCACCTCGCCCCGATATCCCTACAGCTACGTCGGTCAAGCCATCAGTCGCAAAGAGCAGCACATCATTCAGATCCTACTTGAAATCATCCCCGAGAGCAGCACCTCGGTGAATACCAGTCTGCCCTCCAACACAGGCTTCTCCTGCGCAGACGATAGACCCACCACGGCCGACAGTGTTCCCTCCTCCAGTCTGGTCATTCCCCTCATGCCGGTGCCGTCGCGGGTCGTTCAACTGTCTCACAGCGCGCCTACCCGGAGCTTGGAGCTCGCTATTGCCGATAGAGACCGGGGGTTTGACGACCATACGAGCACGCGCGCGAGCGTGCACTTCCTGGGCCACCAGCCGCTTCCTAGTGACTCGGTTTACTCGTCGATTGTCCGGAGGAGTCTGTCGATTAGTGATCCGAATTCCAACTGTTCGAGTCCGCAGCAGGGTATGCTTCCCGGGGTGCGGTTCTCAGGGTTCATGTCGGATAGGTTGCGGTTTAGTATTCTGAGTCGGCCATGGTCGATGGATAGTGTGTTAGCGGATGAGTCGCAGCCTGAACCGGTCACGTTGGATATGGCACAGCTGCAGCAGACGCGCACGGCAGACAGCTACCCGGGACCGTTTCCCATCAGTGATGGATTGGAGCCGAGCTCGTTAGCCACGGCGCAGTGTGCCAACAATGGGGCCAGCGAGGCCACGGCGGTGCGGACCTCGGTGAGGCCGTTTACCGATGTGTAGCAAGCAGCTTTGGGGGAGGGATGGCAATGCAAGATGTACATTATTCATCGATGAAGCTATCTGGAGCAGAAGATGCAGGTGCAGGTGCAGATGCAGATGCAGATGCAGGAGCGCCAAAAAAGACCATGCAGTATGTACTGTGTAATGCAAATATGTAATCCAATCAATCAATCATGCACATTCCTCCTCATGAATCGCATGATCCAAATACCCCATAGCCCGAACAAAGATCTTCGCACTATCCAACACCCGTTTCTTGCAATCCCCAACCGTATCCATTCCCATGAACGCCCCATACGCCCGATCAAACTCCGTATGTTTAAGAGCCTTCCAAATACCATGCACATCATCCGGCGGCAGGGGTATCTACACCACCACCAGCAGCCCATTAGCAACCCTATCCCAAAATGACAGAACTGATAAAGAAGACGTACCATATTCGGATAACTCCACATAAACGTATACGACGCCGTGCCCTCCCTCCTCCCTCTGTCGCCATAATCCCCAACCCCACTAGGAATCGTCCCAATAGTATCCGCCAAAAACAACACCTTTTCATCCTTCCACCACAGCACCGAACTGCCGGGGAAATGACCACCTGTTTTGACTCCTATCACCCCGCTGCCGGGGAGGACTTCTACCTCTTGACCGTCCCAGAAGATTTGCCTTGCATTAACACTGCCACCATTACCTTTATCCTTACTGCCATCGGCAATATTAGTATTACTGGATGTGTCAACCCGCATAACCCACTCCCTATCCTCCCCGGACAAATACACCGGACAGTTAAACGCCTCCGCCCAGACTAAGTGCGTGGCGTAGTAGTGCGGATGGGAGATGATGATTGCGGAGATACCGCCTAGGGCGTTGATGCTGGAGATGGTGTCGGTGTCGAGGTAGGGGATGCAGTCCCAGAGGATGTTGCCACGGGGAGTGAGGAGGAGGAAGGCGCGTTGGCCGATGCAGTGTTTGGGGGTGGTGTGGAGGGTGTAGATTTTATTGCTGGTGTTGGTGGTGGAGTTGGGGTTTAGAGGGGCGAGGATGTTCTTTAGGGGTGGTTCGTGGGTGGGGGCGCGAAGGGCGCGGAGGGTTGTGTAGTCTTGTCTGTTGTTTTTTTGTATGGTAGGGTTAGTATGTTGTGTGGTGTTTTGTGGGTGGTGGTGAGTATGGATGTGTATAGGGATAGAGTGGGGGTGTAGTATAGTCAAGAAATGGGAGAATAGGGATATACCCAGTTGGAGGGAGATATTGACGGGGATCATCGCAAATGGGACATGGACTTGGCGGCGTGGGAGTTGAGAACTGGGTACCGCAGGTGGTGCAGATGGGGAGGTCGAGGGGGTCAACAGTAGTAGTATCACTATTCATGACGATAATAATATTGTATCTGTATCTGGTTGCAGTTATTTGACAATGTAGAGATACAAAATCGAAACACCCATCAAATGGGAGATATTCAGTGCTTAAATGTATGGAAGAACATCAGCTGTTCTCCGCATTGACCCCGCATGTCCTGGAGCCATGGATCGCCGAGCTGAACCTCAGCTGAGCTGCTGCTGGTCTGCAGCTGAACTGATAAGCTGCAAACCAGGGCTCGACTTAGGCACAATGATGTCAACACTATCTGAATCTTAGAAAAAAGGCGGAAACTTTTGTATTCCATCCATCGCATGGCATACAGCCCATCCGTTATGCACTAATCGAGAAAAATATGCTGCAAGAAGGGAATCATATAGCACAAAAATGCAAAAGTCGGTACAAAAGTAGCAATACTAGTCGACACATCCCCCCTTTCCGCCCATACAACCATCCATTTCATGCACGCTTGCTATCGCTGCGCGGGTCATAAGTCGTGAACATAACAAATCGTATAACAGATTCAAGTCGAAGAAAAGATGACGAGAGGAGAAAAAAAAATAATATTGGGTATCAAACGTCTGTCGCGTCAATAGTCATGGTCGGCATCCACCTGCTCCGGACTGGCGCGATACTGGCTTCGCTGCCGCCGTGCAGGGCTGAACTGGCTGCCCGACGTTAGGGGACGAGGCCCCGTGGGTTTCCGGGGAGGCGGTGTACTACGGGGAGAGCGCATGATCGAACTCTACAGAGATATGGTCAGCATCATGCGAATAAAACGTCCCTTCCGGGTATGATCACTAACCCGCGAAGCAACTCGTTCCATGTACGATCGCTCATCGTCTTCCTTGACTTTGGGCGGCCGCTCCGGGATCAGTGGCCCCTCATCCTTGATCTTAGGCGGACGAGGAGGCCCCGTGTGCCGCGAGCTCGCTTCCGAGTAGCCCGCATCCGAGATGGGCGAAAGACGACTGGCGCCGCTGTGGCGCGGGTTGGCGTTCACGCCAGACAAGCTGGGGTTGGACCCCCACTGGTCCGAAGGTGCGCCCGCTGGCACGCCGTAGACCTGCGCTTGTGTTTCCAGCTGGTTTTGGTATCGCCCCGACGGGCCCTGGCGAGGCTGGGGATGGTGAAGATCGAGACTGCCCCGGTGAGCCCGGTACTTCGGCGCCTCCGACGCTTGTCCCGATGCTTGAGACGGAACCAGAGGGGACGGCGGCCGATTCTCCTGCTGCGGGTCCTCCAGAGTGTACGTCGAGCGCAGTCGGTCATCGCCCTGGGGATCATAGTAGTCCGGCTTGTATGGTCCTGGTGCAGCCTCGGATCCAGAGCGCGAGGTATCGAAGGACGCTCTCTCCTTGCTGCGGCCAGGTTGAATGCTGTTGCGGATGTTGTCTCCCATCGAAGACGCCGTGGTTTTGGACCAACGGGAGATCTTGGGGAAGAATGAAGAGCTGCTCGATTTGTGCTTCTTGGCCTTTTCCGTCGTCTTCGGCGTCGCCTCGTTACTGAGGGCACCCGAAGCCATAGGTTCACGAGGAGGTGTTGACACAGGAGCGGAGCCAGCCCGGCCCTGGCGGTTGTTGGCCGGCTCCTGCGAAGGCATGGTTGGGCTCGGGAACTCCTGCTCATCTATGTCTTCATCCAATTCCGGCACCGTACTGACGCGGTTTTCCATGCCCCTCCGCAGTCCATTACCCACGAGTGGTTCCAGAACAGGCTGGGAAGAGTTGGAAAGGTACTCCGACTGGTTTCCGGGCGACGAAGTCCCAGCATGGCCCTCCGGCTCATAGCCCTCCGGATCCACACTGGCCGCTCGGTTGCCTCCCCGCATGTACCGGTCATCCTGACCGTAGCGTAGAGCTTCGACTTCATCAAGGAGCTGTTCCAACATATCCTCGATTCGGGTAAGATCGTTGGAGTTCTTGAGGCTCAGGCCTTTGAGTGCTCGCTTGAAGATATTCTTCCGCTTCGAACGCATGTCATCCCCGTCGTCAATAGGCACCTGGCGAGCACTACGCGTGCTAGCCGGCTGAGGGCGTGGCCCACCCAGAGCTCGATAGGTCCGCTCGTGCTGTCGGTCACTAGCTTCCATGAGCATTCCATCCTGTAGAGCAATGAACTTCTTCATCTCCTCGAATGAGTTGCGCATTTCCGCGGCGCTTCGAACAAGAGTCACGAGAATCTCCGTATCCCTGGCATTCCGTTGGGCATCGCGAACCGTGAGCTGTTCAAATAAGTCAGCAGTGATACTTTCAAGCAAGATGACATGTTTACTAACATGGTCCATGAGTGCAACAATGTCCTTGGACTGAATTCGATCAATTCCTTTCCCAGTTGCACTGTCATACAGAGGCGAGCCAACTCCTTGAGAGTAGCCACTCAATTGCCGCTGGTGACCAGGCATAAAGTGGTCTTCCCCACCAAGGGGACTGTCAAACAAGCCCATTCCATTTGTGTCGATTCCAGCAATACCCTTGCTCAGTGGCTCAGGGGTTTCAACACTCGGGGAGCGAGGGTTCGCGGCCGAGACATACCCTTCGTCTTTGGCACCAAGCGGGGTGCCGAGCATCTGGCCTCCGTGGTACTGCTGATCATAGTAGTCGTTCGCACCGTAGTCATCCTCCGGGTAGTAGTCCTGGCCATAGTGGGAGGGCTCAACTGACCCCAAGCCCAAGCCAGCACTTGCACCAGCTCCAGACTTGTCAAAGAGGGGCGACGGGGCGTCTTTGGAAGGGGTGCGGTTGAACGACCAGCTGTTTTCGTGGGCCGCAGGACCTTGAATGATGGAAGGATTGGTATTGATTTCCGATTCTGAATCCGGACTCCGGTCGTCTTCATGCGGCATTGGGCTGCTGTCGAGGTCGCCAGCGAACAAAGGAGCCGGCTCGTTCTGGTAATGTTCGTCCAGCGACTGTGTGACGCTCTGGGGCGGCGACGTAGCACCCATCCGTCTAGGGAACGAGGTCGCGTCGGGGCTGGAAACCTCCTCGCGCTGCTTTAGAGGGCTTCCTCGGTGAGATTCGTGCTCTGCCGGCTCATGCTGCTCATGCTGCTCCAGAGGCTCCGGCTCCCAATCCTCCTCCTCTTGCTCCGGGATACCAGCCATGGAGCGGTTCGCTCCAGACTGGCTGGACTTGGTGTCCAGGATCGTGGGTTCGAGGACAGAGGCCACCGCTGATTCAACAGCCATCGGATGTACGAATCGGGGATTGGCAGCAAGGCCTTCAGCTACCGGTCGGCCCTGATCTTCCTGGTCGTGGTGATCAAGCTCGCTGTCATCGGTGTACCCGGTCATGCGTTTACCGACGGTGCTCTGCGTCTCAGTTTCTGCTAGCGAATGCTGGTCTTCGTCATCGTCGGAATATTCCTCCCAGTGTCTTTCCTCTCTGGGGGACGGTCGGGGGGTCTCCTCGTAGCCGAGCTCCGGGCCAGGTTCCTGTCGACGGCGTAGGGACTCCGTCTGGCTCGTGATGCTGAGGCCTTCTGGACGGGTAGATCTTGCAAAATCCGTACTGGGCGCAGACGAAAGAGAGTCAATCGAGAGACGCGGCTCCAATTCTCGTTCATCTTCGGAGTAATCGTACCTATCATAATGGGTCAAGTCCCGCTTGACCGGATTTTGGCTCTCATTGCTGGCCACGCTCTGTATCGGACTGAGAGTGCGCCGACGGCTCGCCAGATCACTGTAGTCGAGGTCATGATTCTCGGAGTGGGAGTCGAGCAAATTAGCGGCAGCGGCATCCCCGACGGGCGACCGACTCGAGGGGCTATGCATCGACAAGTCGTGGCTGGACAAGTTGCTGTGCTTGAGCTTCAGCTCATGCCGCACGTCCAGAGGCGTCCGATTTGGCGTGCGAGGTGCAGGTGACAGGGGTGCTGGCGAGAGAGACTGGAAAGGGGAGCCGCGGAAGCCTTCCTGGAATTTGGTGTCTCCGTACGGTGCTGCTGGTTCGGCGGTCTGCTCGGAGAGAAGGGAAGCTCTGGTGAGGTCGGATTCAATCGCACTGCGCAGTGGCATGGGGGCGACATTGTGTTTCTGGAAGACTAGTTCGGTCTCGTTAATACTGCCGGTGCGGCTTCGGGCCCCACTGCTCCTTCTTCTTCCCTCGCTTTTTCCGAGGCTGGACCGTGAGTCGTGATGCTGGAGGGCTGCAGCGGTTAGGGCTGTCCCCACGAGTGCAGCCTTTTCTGCATCACGCAGTCCTTTGCTCTTTTGTCGACGGAGCTTTTCTTGCTCCGTCAACTCGGGGCGGTTAGCCCATCTGATGTAACCGAGATCCTGGCTTCTTTCGCTTCTGCCATGGCTTCGTTCGCTGTCCTTGCTGGATCTCCGTTCTTTTTGGGATGGTACGGAGTCGCCAGAAAGGACGATGCCTTCATCGCGACTATCCTTATTCAGGACGACCTTGGGCTTTCGGACGTCAGGTGCACTTGCGTGTTTGGAAAGTCGTCTGCCCAGCTCGTCCCACGAGGGCGTGCTGGCTGATGAATGTGAGGTGTTCATGTCGCGTTCGAATTTGGACGTGTTGGTGATGACTTTCTGGTCCTTCTTAAGTTCCTTCAGCTCAGGCAGTATGAGTCTTCGGATCGCGTCTTCAACAGTTTCAAGAAGCTTTGGGTTGTTGATCGATGACTTCGAGGTGCCGGATTTGAACGAGTACTGATCACCGGATCGGCGATGCGAGGACACAGCCGAGGCGCTGAGGAGGCTGGATTCTGGACTCATCATATCGTCGGGAAGAGCCCGACGACGAGGAGACTTCGAATCCATATCTTGGAGATCACTGCCGTCTTCGAAGCTACTTCTTTCGGCACGCCGGCGTTGCCTAGAGACGTCACGAGGGTCGTTGCTGAGCTTCTCTGCGACTCGATGAGCAATGCGTTCGGTGCTGAGACTGCGACTACGTTGTCGCCGGGGGGTTTTGAGGTACTCCTTGGATTCACGTTCCAAGCTCTGACTGCGTTTTCGTCGAGGACCAGATGAGGGGGCTTCCAGCATGCTATCCGCCGGCATCGACGAGATGTCGGAGGTTGGGTGGAAGTACCTGTCGCG